ATGGCGGTGGCGCTACGTCGTCGAACCTACCTTCTGAGAAAAATGAAAAACGATTTTCGGTTTTTTGTAAAAACGGCCTGTTTTTCGAATAGAGGGTGACGAAAATCTTCCAAAACTTTTGAAAAAGAAGAGATGCTGAATAAAAATTTTTATCGTATATGAAAGAGCAGATCACGGGCTATCTTCCTATGCATTTTTCTCAATTTCGATGATTCTGACGAAATTTGACATTTTTTGAGCGGGGGGGGGGGGCCTTAATGCAAGAAGGGAAAAGATTTTATCATTTGATGACACTATCAATACTTAGTTTTGTTTTTATATGACTATTGAGTATAATGATAGATTAATAAGATAATTATTCTAATTTCTTGTTGAATGATAGAACTCATAGTAAAAAGACTTATGGCATATAATAACTCGTCTTCAATCGAAGTAACTACTACTGAGCTAGTCTTTTTGACCTTAATTTCTAATTAAGTTCATATGATAGAAGCTTGATGGATTGTGTTTATCATCTAGTTGTGTATAAACTATTCTATATATTTTATTACTTGTTTTTGTTCTGGTGTTAAAGTTTCATTTTGTTGTTCATTTGTAGTTATTGTTGTTGTTTGTTTTTTTGTATTCGTTGCTTTTTTATTGCCATGCCGATTTACAGTGCTCGTGCCCATATCAAGTACAGTTCCAATTAATTTTAGTACCTTTGGATTAGCCAATAATCTAAATAAAATAAACTACTCAGTGTACTTTTACATTGGGACTATGCTATATGAATAACATACGTAACATTATTTGGTTGATCTTGTAATAGTTTCATAAGTCTAGCTGTCTCAGGATCTTGTAGAAGTTGTTGAGCTTTCGGATTTGTAACAAGTTGTTGTATGAATTTTGGATCAGAGAAGAAACCTATTTCATCAGCTATTGGTTTATTATTTGCATATTTTCGTACTTTTTCTAGATCACTAAGTAATTGCTGATTATTTGAATCGATTTTAAGACCCTCTTCATAAACACGTATTGCATCATCGTATTGATTTAGAAATGATAATGCAACACCCTTTCTTGAATATCCCTAAAAAAAGAGAATTTCATCTTCTTTTTCTCTATCTTTCAATCTTGGCAGTTATGTTTTTTACTTGAACAAAATCAGGTTTGAGTGCAATACATTTTTCGGCATCTTTCAATGCATATTCATATTTATTTAATTTAGCATAAGCAGCTGAACGATTACTGTAAAGTTCATAATTTTTCTCGTCGAGAGCTATTGCTTGAGTATATAAATTAATTGCTTTATCATTTTCACCAGCCGAAAAAGCAGCATTGGCTTTAGATTTTAGTTCTTCGACCTGAAGATAGATATATAACTATAATAATGATATATATTGTATAGAATCTTACCTGAGATGCCATCAAAAGATAGAGAATAAAGATGATATCGATACAAAAAAAGATCTACAATTTATATTTAAACGATCAACTTATTTCGAGGATAATAAACAAAAACGTTGATGGAATTTCTAGAAACAAATACTCGATTCTTTTCCTTGACACTGATTTGGTATTATTTTCCTTCGTATCGTATGCTCCACTGATAGATAACTAGCGACAATGCATAAGTCGTTTGTGTGTTCCAAGAAAGATAACATAAGTTTCACACTCGATATTCTTGATAACAAATATATAGGTGATTATGGTGTCTATTGTACCGGTTTTTTTTTTGAAAAAGTGACCGAAAAAAAAAAAGTAAACGGCTGCACTTAAAAATATTATCAGAAGATAGAGAATACTTCGAAGTTTAAGAAAAAGTGGTTTTGTAAACAACTAGTTTTTTCATCAGATGTAGAAATCAGCTTTTAAAAAAGATTTTCAAATAATCAACTTGGTCAGCTGATTCTTATGAAAAGACATACAGTGTAGAATTTTAGTTCAATATGAACAATTGTTAAGATGATCTTAATTTTATTTATTCTTCTTTCGAAAACATAATAAATGTACGTAGACATACATATAACGATACATGCGTTCTTTTTTTGTATATAAAGACGGCTATATATCTAAGTCAACTGGAAAAAAGGGGAAAGAGAATGAAAGGAAAAGAAAAAAGAGACCAAAGGGACGAAGAAGAATAAAGAAACACATCTACGACAATGTTATCTAGTGTTTTTACACAGGTCATAACAAAAATATATTCAAATTTTTTCAAGTAATGGGCGGAATGATACAAACTAGTAATAAAAAGACATTTGACTGTATTTCCCGGTTATATTACCAAGAAACGATCTAGAGCTTTGATATTTATAACTTGAGTTGTGCCAAGCAATTGACATTTCTGATAAAAAAATCAACTCTTAATTGTTTTTCGTTTGGTCAGGAGATAGGCAAAAAGGGTGGGACATTTGGCTGTTTTTTTTTAAATTACATTCTTCAGAAACTAGCTATCATCTTGATATTTACAATCTAAGTTGTGACTAATAATTGACGTTTATGATAAAAAAATTAGCTCTTTAATTCTTTGTAGTTTGACCAGGAGATACGTGAAATGGGTGGGACAAATTGTATGCCGCACTCCAGTGAAAACTAGTAAAATGTAAATTATTCCATAACGAGAAGAGTTAGTAATTTGCGGGTTTCAGCAATAGATAGTGACTAGGTTGCTAAACCGTTTTATGGAACAAGATTTGGTCTAAAACGTTTATTGGTTTTACAGCAGGGTCAAAAATGGTGGGACACGTTTTTTTCACTTTTCTGGAACCACTAACAGAAATTCACTTTTTTTTTATGAAATGAAGATAGCTGGATTCGAAATGAGACTATGAGTAGAAAAAGCATTCAAAACGCTGCAAGAAAGAAGAAAGAAAAAAAGGTATGAGGAACCGTCACGAAAACATAGGAAAAATGAGAAAAATTTAGATTATTTTCCATACTGTTCGCAAACGGTAATATATGGAAGCTTGATTTTAGCAGTGTATATAGAGCATGATCGACAGAGACTTCAATATAATTTTCGACCAATTTGACCAAACAGAAACTGAGAAATAAACAAGGCTATTTTTGATACAGGAACGGTACAATAGACATCAGAACCACTTATATATATGGTAGCATTCCATCGATATCCACTGAACAAAATACCTCATATCTTACAAGACGCTTCATCCGTCTAACGTCCAGTTCAGATATATATGAGTTCAATAAACAGTGACGCATCTTGTTCATCTTACTAAATAAAAAATAGACTGACACCCTCTTATGTTATATTATATCTTATATACAAAAAGTGACTAACGATAGGTTGACCAACAGTCTGCTTAATTATTTGTGTCATTACTTCTTACCTAAAATTCACTTGATTTTATAAAACATACGTATCTAAATAGTACTGTGTTTATTAACTTTACCTAAATCGACAATGGGTTTTATAAAATTCTTGAGTTTGTTTACCTTTTTTTAATATCATGATCTATTTCTCGTATTGGTTCCGCTTATTTTTAAATAACCAAATAAGTAAGCTCAGATTTACTGTTTTTAGCGCATTTTTTTTCGTAATTGTAAATGCTTTTTTTTTCTAGCTTATTTTTGAAGGGTTATGCAGTCTTCTGGAAATAAAAGTATTTTCATTTATTTCCTTTTTGATCCTATATCTTGTTGACTATTTGTTTATTTTTTTTTCCAGATTATATTATCATAACGAACAACTAAACTGACGTTAACTTGAATAACTTCGAAAATGTCTTATTTGACGCTTCAGCTGATTTACGAGCTGCTAATTCTAGAAATGGATGATGTACTTCGATATGAACAGTATGTATTAAGAAAATTCTTTTTATAAAGTAATCTCCTACTTTTTCTTTTCATCAATTCACTG